TATAACCTCCTCCTACAGGACCACAACAACAACAACTACTACTACTACCACTACTACCACTACTACCACTACTACTACGACTACTACTACTACTACTACTACTACTACTACTACTACTACGACGCCGACTACTACCACTACCACTACCACTACCACCACTACTACTACTACTACTACTACTACTACTACTGCAGGAGGAGGAAGGAGGAGGAGGAGCAGGAGCAGGAGCAGGAAGAGGTGGGAGACAGGAGGTGGAGGTCGGTAGGTAGGTAGGTTGGTAGGAAGGTATAGGTAGGTAGGCAGGTAGGCAGGGAGAGAGGTAGGTTGGCGGGTGTGTCGGTAGGCAGGAGGTAGGTAAGAGTTAGGAGAGGTGGTTAGCAGGAAGCAAGCAGTGATTAATAGGTGTAGCAAGTGTAGCAGGTGCCGCAAGTGTGGCACCAGTAGCTGTATAGCAGTCGTAGACGTCGTCAGTCTTTGTCATCATACTATTTACTATTGTTTGCTTCTCCGTACAACACAAACAGCAAGACCAGCGCCACCTCGGTTTTCCGTGAGGCCGGCGAAGAGTCCTCGCTCTCCTCATCCTGAAGATGATTTATTCGAAAAAGGCTCTCTTACCTGCTCCTTTGAATAATTATTGGCTGATCTTTTGTGCCTCGCCGTGACCGTCAGCGCTGCTGTCATCGTGACAATCCCTGTATTGCATGTCTGGCCAACTCAGTTGTGTTTACCTGCTACTGCTGCAAGCGTGATGACTAACTGCCCGTGTTCCTGGCGGCACCGGCTCGGTACGATTTCTGCTCTTGACTTACTGAGGTGCAGTGCAAAAACCTCGCTTCGTAGCCCTGAGTGCTTACAGATCCCTCCTCACTCAGAGGGCAGATCCTTATCCTGAGCTGGGTCCTCGTCACTGTCGCTTGGCTCTGTGCCTCAGTGGCGCGTATCCCCAACCTGCCCAAACTCACAGCTCCGGACAGCGTAAGCCTGTGAGGCCCCAGCTGGTCGTCCGTTTCGCCAGTGCCTCCTCTTTTGCCCGCGCCTCCTCCGCGAGCTCCCCGGCATCCTGACTTTCCTTTGTCTCTCCCTCGGCAGCTTTGACGATCGGGTCGCTGGTGAGGATCTGAACAGCAGTCGTAGTCGTGATGGTGGTAGGGGTCTCTGATGTGCTGCTCGTTGTAGTAGTAGGCTGTGGGGTCTCAGAGGTGGTGGTCGTGGTGGCATCACTAGGTGAGGTAGAAGAGGTGCTGGTCACAGGCGACAAGGTGGAAGAGGTGCTGGCGACGTCCTCGCTACCTCCCATGTCGAGAGACCGCAGAAACTCAGAAGAGCATGCCCTGCACCGACCTTCGGCTGCTCTAGCTGCGGCTGCGGCATCTTCTGCCTGAGAAGGCAGCACGGAGCAGGCACGACGCGGTCTGTCGACAAGAAATGGAGACATGCCAGTCGAGCTGCAGAGAAGGTTGCTGGCGACCAAGTGCCGCCACTCCCCTGCAAAAAGTTCTACCCTCACGATGTGCTGAGGGGAAGCCGACACATGTTCATGCTCATGTTTTATTGGAGGTGCAAGTGTGCCAGCAGACTGGCACTATCCCCAAATCCCGAGCCTTGTCCAGGACGTCCTTCGTGAAATCCTTTCAGGGTGCTGACATATGATGGCTCGAATGAGGAAGTGAGGGCTTGGCTCTCACGTGGGTGAAAAGTGCAAGACTCTTGCCGCAACGCGGGCACGAGCAATCCTGATAAACGTCCGGATTTAGCAGTATCAACTCCGGCCTGCGGCACCAGCCTCTTCGATCGCTCGTTAGACAGTTCCTCCTGGACACGACTTGGACTTAGAGTTCTACGGCTTGCGGTGATCGGATGTCAAGAGGCTTCGGCTTGTTTCTCAAGCACAGACGCTCTACACGCGATGTATCAAAATATATCCTCAACAAACACACTGCGCAAAACAACCCAGCAAAACCTGCCTAACAAAGGAAATGTTGAGCCCTAGGCCCGAAATGTTGAAGCCACACGTACCAAGCCACTAACCCCGAAAGCTGGAGCCAGTAACCTAAACCCTGAACATCCCTCGACCCGACAACTAAAACCTTCGGCCCGGGGCAGCGGCTGCCAAGAGCGGCGGGAGCGGTGGCGCAGAGGACAGATTTTCGTCGGTGGCATTGCTCTCGCCAACCTAGCGTTTAGGACTGCAGCGTGTGCTTAGAGCGTATGAGGGGATGCTGCAACATGTGTAGCTTCACAGTCTGTACATGGCTGTACCACGGTATGCGCAGTATACAAGCATTTAGCATTCTCCGGCTCTTTGCATGCCTCTTCTTAGCTTTACACTACAATTTGTAAACAGACTTGTCTAACATGTCGTTTTGCCAGCTCCAGGGAGAACTCAGATCTCATCGGAGCTACACAGTAGCTGCGGCTGTACTCTCGTTGAGTTGCTCAGCTGCAACAAAACGCTTCTTGCTTCCCATCCTGTCCGCTAGTGGAAAGCTGGAGTGCTTGCTCCTTCCCTGCCAGTTCGGACACACGATCAGCTCAGCAAAACAGGGACCGCCTTGATCGCGGGGACGTTGACCAAAAGCACCTGGTGGCAGTGGGAACCGCCCCCAGCCGTCAAAGCACAACCGACCATCCCATCCCTACCTTGCCTCATCGACTGGCGTCTCAGTTGTCGTCGTGGTTGTACTTGTCGTGGTTCTTCGTGTTCTTTTGCTTTTCCAACTGGAGTCAATGGTAGACCCCGTAGAGTTCTTGTAGTATTTCTTGACGGTGCTCGTGGTCGTGGTGGTGGTGGTTGTCGTGGTGGTGGTCGTGGTTGTGGTTGTACTTGTGTGCTTGTAGTAGTCCTGCAGATAATGGTCAGCCACCATCATGTGTACCTGGCATGACGACTGAAGCCACAATGACAGGGTCAGATCATGTGAGCTACTGAGCTGCTTCGTGCATCTGAACAACCTCAACATGGGCTATAAGAGTAATAAAGGTCATGTCATACATCTGTGGTCATGCTTCATCGCTTTTCCCGTCCCACCTGTCTGCTGGCATCGGAGCCCGACATAAGTGCTCGCTCGAAGGCGCGTTCATGATCCAGCCTGATGCAGAAAAGCGACTCCAGTCCTGCACCTCCGATGCCCTAAGAATAAACTGGTGAGGATAGTCCAGTCATAAAAAGCATAGCTGCGGTTAAGCAACAGCTTGTCACCCTGACCGGGTTTTGCATCCCGCTTGACGCTGCTGGCATTCACCAGAACGAGCTGCTCGCTGGGCCCTGGATGCGGGATATCTTGCGATGCACATACCAGAACAGCGAATGGCGCAATATCTGCGAGCACTAATCCAAACATGCGGGCTGTCCTGACCGACTTTGCGATGTCCGGCCGAAACCCCAAGCTTCTTCCTTACGGTTGATGCCGTTCACAAGTGCGCAGGTGCAACATCTCGGCAATGTGTCGGCATGCCGGAGCAGTCGCGGATGACTGAGGACCCACACATGTGCAGACCGCGGCAGTCGCTCCACTATTGGCACCTGCGCTCCGCCACTCACCAACTGGCACAGGTGGTATGAAGCCACATGCAACGCCAATGGGATAGACGCTCTCTGAAGCAAAAATACAGCAACAGCCGTGACGCAGGCCCTGTCCAGAGCACTTTGCTCACCGCGGCCTCACCAGGCAATTAGCCATGTGGAAGGAGCTTGTTGCAAACTGGGCTCGGTGCCAGCCGACACCAGCCAGCCGAGACTCCAGCTGTCTTCTTTTGCTGCCAAATCCTCCACTTGGTGCGCATCCTGGCCAACCATGTCGGCAAGCGACAGTCAACAGTCGGGATGGGATGTCCGCTCTGAAGCCTTGACCGCCGCGGGTGGGTGGGACTCCTCCTCCTGACGCGCATCATCAAGCTGTTGGCGATGCTCTCAAACCGATGGTGACTCTCATGGTGTTCCCGCGAAACAGTGTGCTGAAAGACGCCTGCTCGTCGTCGCATCCCTGAAGGAAGAACGATGCAGAGAGGAGCTGCGCAATGAGGACGGAGCCGCGCAGCACCGCCCTCAGCTGCCTTGTGACAGGCATCCCACAAGCTCAACTGACTTTTGCCTTCGCAAGATCGCATCATCACAACGGACGACACGCAGCAACGCACCTCATGCAGCCTTGTAGTTGACGCTGCCTACCGGCAGTTCCACCTTAACACATTGAGCACTATGACCAGGCAATTTCGGAGACTCTACGAAGCAAGATGCGATGCAACGCGAGGAACTGACACCGCGCACTTTTCGTGATGATGAAGCTCGAATGATTTTTGCTCGGCTGGGAGCTCCAGAGCAGACTTGGGCAGGATCACTTCACACCCCGTGCTCAAATTTTGCAGCACATACGCGATCGACGGGCCCCCTCTAAGCGTGAAAGCCGGGGTTGCTGTGAAGATGCAAAGCTAACGAGGTCCCTGCCGCTGCTTCTGCCTTCAGTTCTGAGAGGCTGACGTGAAGGGAATTTGGCAATGCCCGCAAGTTCACGCCGGCAAGTGAAAGGCCTGCTATAGATACGAATGACGCTCAAAGCGCTGCGGGAAGACGTGAAGAGCTGCATCTGCTGCGCGCATGCCGCATGCCATGTACATGCATGTGTGGGTGATGGTGTTACCCTATGTGTCTTGTTGTCTGTCTTCCAGATCCGACTTACAGGCTCCTGCTGCCATTGGCACCACACATTGACATGCCAGGAGCAGTCGTGCACACATGCATGCGTGCTACTATTTGACTGTGTATAGAGAAAGAACTTACACATTGAAGAGATCGTTCTGCTCTCACGGCAACATCTCAAAGAAAAAAACTGCTGAATCAAGTTCGCCTGCATGCGACACAAGCACCTTGCTTGAAAGTAGACTTCATTGTCACGCAAAGTGTCGACATCCCAATCGTCGTCGGTGCGACATATTACTGTCACTGTGACTATGCTCATGCTCTCAAGTATGACTCCTGCATTCATCTCACAGAGCTCTTGCTCGTTTACATGTAACCTTTTGGACATGGTACAGTATCACTCCATGAGCCACATTGCAGGCAGCTCTTTTTGATCCAATGCCGCATACTTATGATGCTGCAGCTGCTCCAACCGCATCGGCCAGGGCATCGACGACAGCCTGCAACAATCTGCAACATCGCATCGACCGCTGTTGCTAGATGGCAAATGGGGGTGTGACTATCCATGAGCTACGCTCCTTCCGCACAGGGCCATCCAGGAGCAGCTCGACCCTCTCTGCCATGAGCTTGTAGCTGTCTTTCGCCTGCCCAGAGCCATGAGGTCAAGGCACGCAGAAGCCGGCTCTGACACGGTGCCTTTGCATCGGCATCAGATTGTCGCACGTTAAACCTGAGCAAGGCCCGTCAAGCACCCGAAACACTCTGCAAAAGTCTTGTAGGTGAGCTGGAGGATAGCACGGCCTCAACTCCTAAACCAACAGCTCAGGCTGAGTTCAGGTGAAACAGATCGAAGCTGGAAACCCCAAGGTCGGGAGTCTCAAACCTCGAAGTCTCAGCCGCCAACTCACAGAAGCGATAAAAGCTGCAGGCCAGTGCTCCGGCAGCCATAAAGTCCGGGAACGTCCTAGGCTTCGGGTTTAGGGTTTAGGATTCCCTTTTGGCAGGTCCAGGCTTTGCGCTTCCGTCTTGCGAAGCTTAGGGTTGAGAATCCCTGTTCTAAGTTAGGGTTCAGGTTCAGGAGTGCCATGGAGTGCTCTTTCAGGGTGTAGGACTGTCGGATGTCGAAGCTTTTGGCTTTCATTCGCAAGAACGGAGGCTTCAAAAGGTCTCTAATCCAGCGAGCAAGTCTGAGTGGGATGCTGCACCTCCAAGGGGGAAAGCGTCCGCAGCCTCCCAATCTCCGTGCCAACACGAAAACCATCTCCAGAATCCTGCCATTTCCCATGCAAGTTTTTTCGAGCCTGAGGTACTCCTTGAGCAAGACCTGTCAGCCCCAGGAGGCGAATCCGAGAAAGGCCCAGGCCCAGGCTCTAAGACCCGTAAGTGCCAGGCCCGGAGTCTCAGCTCCATCAACTCATTCGCTGCCTTTGGGTTGCGCACGGCTACAGGTTCCACCGGTTCGGTACGTAGACTCTACTACGAGTAGGAGAGACGCAGGAAGTAGGTCAAGCCACGACCACCACATGCTCATGACTACAACAAGACACAACAAGCTTCATGACTCCAAAGTTATTGCAAGAATCGATCTGATTGCTTCTCTGCTTTGCGGCTCCCGTCTTTGGGTCCCGAGCAGAGAAGCAGCAGGCACTTGCACACACGGCCAAATCCACGACGTAGGGGCCGACGCACGAATCCTGGCGCGGCAGGGTTCCGCAAGAGCAGGCAGTCTGCCAAGAAAGGGCAAGAACCAGCAAGCCGGTTCAGCAAGCACGACACCTTTTCGACTGTTCTCTCGCATCTGGGACTTCCCCAAGACTTCTCCGAAACCAGAGGCTGAGACTTGCTGCACACTCAGTGGCATGACACAAGCGGAGCCAGCCCGCAGCGCATCGCAGGTCGAAGGCATCCGAAAGCGTGTTGCCTCGACACGAGTCCCGCGCCCTAAAACTTGAGGAGCCAGAGCCTCCCCGGCCTCCAGCTACCCTGCCATCTCCTTCTGAAGTCTCCTGAGAAAGCGAGAAAGGCGCAGTCAAAGAGTCAAAAGCCTCGAAGCCGAAGCCCTGTGGCCGGGCAAGTTTTGTGTTCGGGACTTCCGGTTGCCTACATTGACGCGCAGAAACCATGTGCCCCGTGACATTTCCAAGCACTCACTGGGAACATCCTCCAAGATCAAGGGGTGTGACCAGTAAAGTTGCTTCGTGAATGGTCATGAATGGTCGAGGATCTTTGCACCTGCCCCACCGCACCTCCTCTCTCTGCAATTACAAATGGAACTTTGCACTTCAAGGACTTCCCCGAGCCCATGCTAGACGGGTTCCGCGGCACCCGGTTAGATCACCGCCAGCCTCCCCCGCACCGGTTCTTGGCAGAGGTCTGCCAGAGCCGCCTTAGGCAATCAACAGCCTGGGATCTGGCTACGCCCACCACCTCGCTCTGTCAGCCAGATCCCAGGCTGCCGATTGCCAAAAGGGCCTTGGACAGGAAAGGGTAACTGCGCGCGTTGCCCGGACCTCGAGGCGCTCAACCTCCAGTATCTTAGATATCTTCATCATTCAAAACATGGAGGAATGAGAAGGAAATCAGCAGGTGAATCGTCTCTTGCGATTTGTAAAATGCCGCTCCCGCTGCTTGAGCCAAAGTCGCTGTCATCACGGAAACTCTACTTCAAAAGCTAGAGTCATGGCACAAGAGCGGTACTTTCAGTGACAACGGTTGCAGATGAGCTGCCACTACCACACATCCAACCCCGCCAGCGGGGATCTTCGGGATTGCGCAGGAGACCTCGATGCCATCCTCGAATGATGGTTTGGCCAAATGACTCCAGATCACGGAGTGGTAACTTCGCCTTACCAACTTGAGAACCTTCGAGCCTGTAATATCTGCGTTATATAACTTCTCAGAACAGGTTGCATCTTGCCACAGCTGTGAGACCCGTTAAACTGCTGCACGCTGTTGTGAGGCAGAGTCTCAGTATGTCTCAGTTACGCGTGGAGTGCCGGAAGAGGAAGCCGCCTGACTAAACTGGAGCAAGCATCTCTCGAGCCCCAGTAGAAGTGCGAGTGGTAGTGGCCCGATGACCGGACGTAGTTTGCGTAAGCACAGCCGCACGTCACTCGACCTGAGAGAGAATGACGCTGCACAGAGGAGAGGAATCGCGACTGGCAGAGCTGCTGCTTCTTCCTGCTTCTGCTTCCTTTACATGTAAGCTTAAGGCGGCAGTCCACGCGATTGCAGCCGCCGATATTGTCCGCCACAATGACTGTCCCTTCTTGTATGAGCCCCCAGGCCTGCCAGCTTCGTCAGGAATCTGAAGTCTCTGAGAGCTCTACACCAAGTTACCACCGCCAGCACCCATCAGAGTCTCTCTGCTGAGACACATCAAAGCGAACGCGAAAACTGGCCGTGGCCTCCAGGCGCTGGATCTCCTCGAGATACAGAGCCTTCTGGTGGTCCAAGAAGACGAAGTCGAAGGGCGCCAGCTCTAGCAGCCTCTGCCTCAACTTCACTTACAGCAGGCCTTGATGTCTTCTGCTTGGGTGCATAAATGCAACTTGCGAACTTCAGCGTCTCCACTGTGCCCCGCAGAACCACCACTTTGGCTTCTTGTCCGGCATGCCTATGGTCGCAGAACACGATGCACGGCACGTAGGTGAGAAGTACGATGCCAAATGTGCTGTGCTACTCAACTGATGCTTCGGCAAACATGGCATTCTGGCAGTTCTCCTCCACCGAGTACAGTTGTGCCCCATCCTGCGATGTCTCGTGGAGCAGCACACTGTGGCACTGCCAAGTATCTGCCAGGCGGCGGGTAGGCAGCGCGCAATGCGAACCTCGGAAATAGGAGAATTTGGGGATGTAGGTCTGGGATTGTCTGGGCTGGTCTGGGGACCCGACGGCAGAGTAGCCCAGGTACGACCCCAACTCCAGTGCGCGAGCAGGCCTCCGTGCTCGCACAGCGGCATCGAGATGCTCCCCCTTCCGTTCGCCCACGTGCAGCAGGGGGCGACCTCGGCGACTAACTATGCTCGATGCTCGGAAGGGCAGCGTCGACTCTTCTCACGAGCATCTCCCTAGACATCCCGAGACCAACCTGCTTGGGCTATATAGACAACTGCAGAGCAGACGGAGGCAGGAAAGAGCTGCTGCTCTGACAAAGTCCCCACACGGTATCCTTCAGGTTCTGCCGGGCAACAGTGCAGGTGAAAATCTTCAAATGCCTGTCCGACACCGCCACTGGCCACGCGGCATGCTCTAGACGGGAGAATTACCGGCTCTGTCAGAAACCCCGCCTTCAGCAGCCCCTCTGCATCTCCCTTTCTCGCGGAAGCGAGCACATGCTCGCAGGCCATCCGCTCCCGAGAAGCAAGGGAGACCGGCTCCAGCCTGCCCAGGATCTCAGAAGCAGATTCTTGTTTTCCAGATACACCCTGTCCCTCGCCCCCTCCCCCCCCAGAACCCAGAGATAGGGAGAGGTAGTCAGGTAGTAGATTTCTCCAACTTTGCCTCCGAGGCTCGCTCGGCTCGCCCGGCTCGGAGAAGCCGAAGACGTGCGGCGCGAGAGGAGACAGCGGCAAGCCGGCGCAGAGCCGCTGCACGGCCGCTGCACGCGCCCAGGCGCGCTCTGGGCTCATCTCGCCTCCACGAGAGCCCCCACAGTAGCTCTGCATTTCGTGCAAATTTACTAAGAAGGGAAGAGAAAAGCCACAGGCAGCTGACTGCAGACGAGATCAGCAGTCTCTCCGCGGAAGGTCAAAGCTCGACCATGACTCTTAAAGGCTTAAAGAGTTAGACCCAGGTCGTGCCGTCTTCTGTCTCTCAAGATCACGATTTCACAGCTCTGCAAGTGGCTGAGCTCAGCCTGCTCGAAATCCAGTGATGAACTGGGCCATCCTGAAGTTGTTGGATCGGTTGGCACAACTGCCATGTACGACCAGCTGATTCCACACAAGGAAGCTGCCCGCACGCATGGGTATCCGCCTTGCACGGAGATGGATACACATGGCCCCAGCAATACTCATGACACCTTTTCGTAAGCACTGCCTGGACAGGGCGTGGATGGGGTCTAGATTGGAGAACTTGAAGCTTCCCCCACCAGCCGCACGTCGAAGGACCCAGTTGTCATGCTGGCCGCTTTGAGAAAGGTTGTCCTCCATGGCTCCTGCTTGCAGCAGCCAGAAAATGCGCCTTCACGATTAGAATAAGGTTTAGGGTAAACTTGTAGTATAGTATCATTAGGCAACCCTGCGGAATACTATCCTTCGTTACTGCCACAGGAAGGCTCGACCTGGCCTAAACTCTGCAACCACTGCATGAAGCTGTGCTGGAAGCCGGGCACAACTCGAGTCCCGCCATCCTCAGGTGCAAAATCGAAAGTCGCAGACTCAGCTAGTTACAGCTCTCTCCGCCGACTCCGCACACGGCAAAGAGAGCTGCAGGCCTCCTCGAGATTGTCGATGAGATTGAGGACCCCCTGCACATGCTCGCCTGTGGGGCATCCACGGCCTTGAACAGCCGTGAGCTCCGCTCGGAAGTCCTGTGCTCACTCACAACAAGCCTGTCCGAGCACTGGTAATCACGTTCTGCAACAGAAACGGGTCTTCGGAATGATGGCAGCAAGGCAGCGGGTGTCCTGCAAGGGAAAGCGATGGTCGCTGAACTCTTCCGTGCCGTACCTTCAAATCAAGAGGGATGGGAACAGACTGCTGCTGTTACCGCATTGAATCTGGAACAGCCACGCCTGAGTGTTTCGATCTCAGTGGCTTTCAGGCCAGCGTATGTCCAAGGATTGACATCCAGGTGAAGGTTTTCGGCAGTTCTCCATCCATCGTCCCTGGCCGCTGGGCGGTACATACACCACCTGTAGCTGGGCACAGATGCGAGTCAAAGACACATGAGTTCAGCTTCGATGCTCACTGCTGCGAGGCCTGTCTTGTGTTACCACCACGCTGTCGGGATCCGGATGTGGGCTATCGAAGTCCTTCAAGACTCAAGATGTAGGCGCAGTGCCAGAATCATGAAAGGGAAGCCGGCACCAAACCAATCTGTTCTTTCTTTCACGAGTGGAGAGGCAGGAGCCAATCTTCTTCCACAGGGCTTGGGCCACTAGGGCCCCCCATAATATGTTATGAGGCTTCAAGGAGCCAATCTCTCTCTCTCTCTGTCGCTCCCCTGGCCCTTCGTGTCCTCCAGGCTTCCGATGTGCGGTAGGACAGCATCCAACGCAGCGTAGACTCGAGGATTCTGCCGATTTGCCACCATCTGCGGAGAGAAGACAGCCTGCTGGCGGTCGCAGGAAACTGCAGTCGAAGACCAGATCTCTGGTTCCCGTGAACACAAGCTTGTTACGACAACGACTGCTTGCAAAGGCGAGTACGAAAGCAGTGATGCCGTGGCAGGGCGAATGAGCCACTTGGTCGAGCAAAAACCCTGGGTTCCCAAACCTGCAAAGATACGTCACCTGGTGCCTTCACTTGCTGCTGCTGCTACGTCTGCTACTGCTCTGTACTGCTATCGCTACTGCTACTACTACTACTACTACTACTACTACTACTACTACTACTACTGCAACTACTACTACTACTAGCCACCCCCCCCCCCCTACCAAC